AAACTAGGAACACCAGTGTGAAATCTCAAGAACCTTGTTAAATTCCTAAAAAACATGTTCTTCAGCTTCAAATGACAGAGTCCTTATTAGTAGCTAATTACCAGCCGGCTCTGAAACTTTTAAAGTTCAAGGGCTGCCTGGTTCATTTAGTAACAGTAATTTGTACTTCTATGTCTTTTTTGATGAGGATCTCAATGTACTTTGAAACTAAGAACATAGAGGAGTTTGGAGAGGTGGAGAAGGATCATTATATGTCTACCAGCATATAAAAGATAAAATATTTTAAAAGGGTTATGAAATACCCATTTTTTTGTTTTGTTCCTGACAAAACAGTAGGTTTTACTCATATTATAAAATATGAAGAGATTCACCCTGAAGCGAACTTAGTCTTGATATATCACTTATTTTCTGATGTGCTGTGAAATAAGGACAACTTTTATTAGTCTAATTAAGAAAGCATTTCAGTTTAAAAATCTAATATATTTTTGTTTACCATGTTCTGTCTATGGTCATTGTTCTCAGGCAGGTCAATCACTAATAATTGTCAGTCACTAATAATTCCACTGCTCGTTGCTACTTCTGATGCTCTTACCAAGGTGTATCTATCAATCTTGATATACAATTCATACGGCTCCTCCCTCACTCACCGGCTATTCCTCATTTTCCTTTTCTTTTTTAAAAATAGTTTTTATTTATATTTTCTCTTTCTTACATCACTATAGTTATCCCAATTGTCTTTTCCCCTCCATTTCCTAAAGAGCCATCCTGTATGAAAAACAGTATTTTTAGAGAGAAAAAAAATCATCATAAATTATTGATACGTGGAAAAAGTCCTAAAACATGTAATTCTCCTTCTTTTCAAGTCTCATTGAGTTATTCCACTCCACCTCAACCTAAGATCATAGTTTAACAAACAATTTATTTGGATTGGATAGAAGCATAGATATAGGTATATAATGTTCAAAAGTACTAGATATAGGTACTAGACAAAGCATACAGTCTTACTTCCAGTTCTAACTTTCCAAAGTGAAGTTTCTCAGATTGTATGTAACCAAGTTCCTCACATTTTAACCTCTTTACTTCAGCACTGGAAGAAGAGAAAATCAAACCCAGAAGTTCAGAATCTTATAATAAACTTCCATTCTTTCTGACTACAGAGTTGTCAGGGTCCTAGTGGATGAACACTAGGCTGAGTAGCATGCTCCTCCAGATTTTCATTGCTTTCACAAATACTTAGAGATCAAGGTCACTGCTTCTAGATCCCCCAGCTCTTCAGTGTATCTCAGGCCTCAATAGGGACGTGTTGAAGAAGTACATCTCTAGGTCCAGCTCTAACTGTTCCTTGCCTCATGGTGGCTGTTGGAGGATGGGGGAAGAATTCAGTCTTCCAAAGGTTTTCAGGTTGTGTGTGCTCTCTCTCTTTCTTTTTCTCTCTGTCTCTATCTTTCTATCTATCTATCTATCTATCTATCTATCTATCTATCTATCTATCT